GCTGCGAGGGACGGCTCAAGATCCCCAATAGCTAGTCCATTATGGTTGTTCTGTCGGGGATGGACAGAACCCCCTTTAGTAAAACGTGGTTTAGTGAAAACGACCTGAGGCCCAAACCTGGCGGGCGCAAACCTGGAAAATGACGGCCACGGCGCCCTCTCGAGAACCGAAAACGGACAATTCACTAATCGACGTGTCACTGTTGGGGGTTCTGTCCGCACCCGATACAATGGAGACCCATGCTATGAAGCACCCTGCTTGCCTCCAGGGTGCCCTGGGCTTCTCGGGCATCGATGGTTTCGCTGTGGAGAGAGAGCGCGACGCTCCCACACCAGAACTCAGTGGGAGCGTCCTGGGGCCTCAGGGCCGGGCTTCTTGAGGAAAGGTTCTTGTGGACTGGCCTCCACTGTCGAAGGGGCCATGGGACACACAAAAAAATACACAAAGAAAAGGATCCCCCATATGTTACCGTATTTTCTGGGCTTCTGTCTTCCCCCCCCACTGCCCATATGTTCCCATACTTTCTGGGGAATCGACGATTCATTGTGTCTCTGTGTGTTTTCCCTCCTGAACTGTACTATCCGCCACCGTGCCCCTGTGGCACGAAGTCGAGTGTCCCCAGGTCCCTTGCTCACCCTCCTCCTCCTCCTCCTCCTCCTCCTCCTCCTCCTCCTCCTGCTCCTCCTCCTCTTCTCTTTCTCCTCTCCCCTCCTCCTCCTCCTCCTCCCCCTCCTCCTCCTCCTCATCCCCCTCCTCCTCCTCCTCATCCTCCTCCTCCTCCTCCTCCTCCTCCTCCTCCAGCCTCAGCCCCCAGTCCAGAAGATTCCTGACAGGCCCGGACCCCGGCTCTGGAACCTCGTGGGCTCCCCCGCGTGCCCCCCTGGGGAGCCCCGAGGCGTCTCGTCGCTTACCTCGTTCGGACCCCCAGGGAGGACCCCCAAAAACGGGGCAAGAGGGCCCCAAAGGGCTTCCAAGACGGTCTGAGAGGGCCCCGAATCGCCGAACGATCGATCCAAGAGGCCCAGGATGGCCTCCGGCGCCAGTCGAAAACGCGCCCAAGACGCCGCCCCAAGATTCCTTCAAAAGCATCCCCAAGAGGGCCCCAGGAGGCAAAAATCATGGATTGTCATTCGGTTTTTGAATGTTTTGGGGTTCTCGACGTTTCGAGCTTCCGACGCTCCAAGACGTCACAAGAGGCCCCCAAGACCACCCCAGGACAGCCCAAGAGGGCCCCAAGAAGGCCCCAAGACGGCCCAAGAGGCGCCCAAGACGGCCCAAGAGGTGCCCAAGACGTCCCAAGAAGGGCCAAGAGCAGGAGCTCGAACCGACAAGCCGAGCCTCCCGTCCCAAGATGCCCCCAGGGGGTCCCAAGGGGCCCCCAAGAGGCCCCTGGGAGACCCCCATGACGCCCCAAAACGGCAACCAAGAGGCCTCAAAGCTACCTCCACGAGGCCCCCGAGGGGCCTCCCGTATCTCAGGAGGGTGAGGATATGTCGCTGGCAGTCCTAAGCCAGGGGGTGAGGATATGATGGCAGTTTTAGGCCACGGGGTGACATGATGCTGGCAGTGTTCGGCCAGGATGCGACGATATGCTGGTGGCAAACTCACGACACTGGGGTAAGGATGATTTGCTGGCAGTTGTAGGCTGCTGCGGGTGATGTTGCTGGCAGTTTGATGCTGCTGGGGTGAGGATATGTTGCTGGCAGTGTCAGGCTGGTGTGCGTGGATCATGTGGCGACAAGTTTAGGCCACTGGCTGAGGGTATGTTGCTGGCCGTCTTCAGCCGCTGGGGTGTGGATGGGTTACTGGTAGTTTTAGGCCGCTGGGGGTGAGGATGCTGCTGGCAATTTTACGCCACAGGGGGGGATGTTACGCTCGCAAGTGTGAGCCAAAGGGTGAGCTTCTGTGTTAGGCAGTGTTAGGCCAGGTGCAAACAGAATTTGCTGGCAGCCTTAAACGGATGGATGAGAATGGTGTGCAAGAGTGAAGATTGTATACGAAGAGTTTGCCGGCATGTTTGCCTCGTAGGGTGAGGAAGTCAGGGGGAAGTTACTAGCTATCAGTAATCCGCTGGGGGTGCGGATGCTTTGCTGGTAGTTTTAAGCCATGGGGCGAGAATAGTGTTTGGCAGTTTGAGCCAAGGGGTGCGGACTGTTTGCTGGCGATTCTAGGCCAAGTTAAGCAGGGATACTTTGCTGGCAATGCTCAGCCAGGGGACGAGGACAATTTGCTGGCAATGTTATGCATGTGGGTGAAGATATGGCGCTGCGACTTTTGACCCTTTGGGATGAGGATAACTTGTCATACTGAACAGAACTATTGAACAGCAATGCCATATGAGGGTATATGCTACCGGCACGTTTCAATGAGGGGTTAAGATATGTTGCCAGCCATGTGCATACCACGGGGAAGAGGCTATGTTGCCGGCAGTTGTTAGCACGTGAGTGGGGGTGCGTTGCTGGCAGTCTTATTCCAGGGGGAGGGGTATCTTGCTGGCAGCGTTAGGCCAGGAAGATCGTGAGCTGTGGCCGGCAAAATGAGGTCAAGAGGTCAGAATATGCTTCAGACAGGTTTAAGACTTAGGACAGTTGCTGGCAGCTTTACGCCAGGGAGGAGCGGGGCTGGTATGTTGCAGCCAATTCTTAGTTAGGGGGTGAGGATACATTGCTAGCAGTGGTTGTCTGTTGGGTGGGGGGTATCTCTTGCTTGCAGTTTGAAGCCAGGGGTTCAGGATCGTCTGCTAAGAGTTCTACATCTGACGAGGGGAGATCTTCCTGTGCAGATCTGAACCAGACAGGGGAAGGTGGGTAGGCGACTGTGTTGACAGCTTTCGGCAGTTTTGAGCAACCAGGGGAGGACTGTTTGCTGGCAGACTTAGGCCGCTTGGGGTGAGGATACCATATTGCTAGGCGTTAGCCAGAGGGCGATGCAATTTCGCTGGCATGTCTAGGCCGATGAGGTAAGGATAAATTGCTGACGATGTTGCCACTGGGGGAAGAATACAGTGCTGGCAGTTTGAACCTAGGACGGGGACATTACGTTGCTGTCAGGCTTAATCCTTCTACGAATTGCCGGCAGTTGCTGGCAATTGTTGTCAGGGGTGAGGATATCCTGCTGGCCATGCTAAGCCAGGGGTGAGTACCTTTTGCTGGAAAGTTCGGGCCGGGCGGGATGACATACCGCTGGCGAGTTTAGCCCTCGCAGTTGAGTTTACTTCGCTGGTAGAAATCTCGTGCCCCCATGCCGCCGTGAGCGGCTGTGTTAATGCTGGGGCAGTGGGACGACGGCCAACGACCGCGTGTGCCTGAGCCCGAAGGCCTCGAACACATGCTGTGAGCGGGCACATACGCCAAGATACTGCGAGCTTGCATCTGGGATCCAGCGGAGGATGGCCCGACTGAGGGCCCCGCCTAAAGCGCGCGGCTGCGCACGTATGCATGCTCGCCCCTTGACGTGGGATGGTCGGGGACCAAGGGGCAAACTGTCTGGGGATTTGCTTCAGCGCGCCAATCGTTTCAACCTGTCTCTGACGCCCAGTACACGGCCGAAGCGGCCTCCAGTATCGCCCCATGCACGATGGCCCCCGACGCCGAGGGCCCAAGGCATGCAAGACGGCCCCGAGAGTGGCCCAGGTGGGACCGCGAACGGACTCACCGTGCAACCCCCCAAGCGGGCTCCGAGGCCCCTAGAAGGGTCCACCAGAAGCCCCCCGAGAGCGCCCCAAGAGACGTAGAAGACTCAGGGCCAAGGAAGCGGGCACACTGACACAACAGAACATTGGCGCGCCCCGGAAAAACTGAAGCCGTGCGTCGAAGTGCTCTCTGGTCTTCGTCGTTCTCAGAGGTGCAGTACGTTCGAAGTAGCGGTCAGCAGGATCCTGAATGCAGGGGGCCCTGAAAGAAGCTCACGTCCACGCGCAAGGCGCTGGACCAACCGGCGCGTCATACACACACAGTGGGATGAGCACGAGCGGGGACGGGTAAAGCCGTGCGTGCCCAGCGCACTCCGCAGCAGCACCAGCCCCGCAGGGCACGCGCTCCTCTCCGCGGCACGCCTAGGGGGGAGGCACAGGGCGCAGGCCCCCTCAGAAGGCTCAAGAGGCCCCCAAACTCTTGAAAACCTCCTCCACACACAGGGTTCCTCAGAAGGCCGGAGGGCTTCTGAAAAGCCCCGCCGTCTTCCGAGAAGGCCTGCCCCCTCTGAAGAGGAAGAAAGACTGCATGAACATTTGGGGCTCCGCGTGGATCTCCCGGATCTGCGCTAAACCCCCCCCGCCCTGGTGCGCGGGGCGCGCCAGGGGCGCCGCCGGGGGTGCCCAGGGCGGATGCAAGAAATCCGCGCGGTCCTCCGAAAGTGTATGTTTGTGTAGTTTTAGGTCGGGCGTGTCCCCATACAGTGGAATTCTCGACGAAAAATAAAAGGTGCTCAAAAAGTACTCCAAAATGGCAAGCAAAGATATAAAAAATAGTCCCCAGGCTATGTTGTACTATTTCTGAATATTCCTCCTGTAGGGGGACACGCCCGACTTAAATGCAATTGTTCTTCCTCGACGCTCGCTGCCCCTCGGCGCGCCAACGATCCTCACACGACGTGGGCCTGGACACCGTCGTCCGCAGCGGCACCCCTCGGTGCCCGGAACCACTGCCACGCCAGGGAAGCCTCGCTCTCCGCGTCGATGCTGACGATTGGGCATACGGCCAGCACGGCGCGCAAGACTGGGTGCAGGTACCTTCTCTGCTGCTCCTGCTCGATCGCGTGCACCGACGTGCCGTACCAGACCTCCAAGACGAGGCCAGGACTGATGGGCAAATGTGCCACCACGACCACCATATGTAGGACGGGGAAAAGGGAGGATGAGGAGGTCCCTCCTCCTCCTCCTCCTCCTCCTCCTCCTCCTCCTCCTCCTCCTCCTCCTCCTCCTCCACAATTACTCAATATGAATACTACTCTCCCTCTTCCCCTGATGACGTGCTGGGAGTGTTCGACCCCCCGCCGCGTACTGTTTTTTACACACAAGATTCCCGGGAGTTGGGTTTTCGCTTGCATTTTGTTTTCAAAATGCTGCTCTCGCTGAGGCGCCGGCCTCATTTTCGGGCCCCGCTCGTTCCGAATCGTGCTCCCGCTGCAGCGCTGGCCTCATTTCCGTGCTTCCGCTCGTTCCGAATCGTGCTCCCGCTGCAGCGCTGGCCTCATTTCCGCGCTTCCGCTCGTTTCGACTCGTGCTCCCGCTGCAGCGCTGGCGTCATTTCCCGTGCCATGCCACGGCATGCAATGCAATGCTAGGTTGATACTACTTTGCGGTGCTCTTCTACGCCATGCCATGCCGTGCTCTACAATGCATCGCGTACCCTTTCGCGGATCATTGCCCTGCTCGACATCCGACTGTGCGAGTAGAGAGGGGATCTACGCCATGGTAAGGGATGGGAGGGAGGGGTAGGATGTCAGATATGACGCGAGCGCACCTAGCTTGTCCCCCTCCCCTCCCCCTCCCCCTCCCCTCCCCCTCCCCCTCCCCCTCCCCTCCCCCTCCCACTCCTCCTCCTCCTCCTCCCCCTCCTCCTCCTCCTCCTCCTCCTCCTCCTCCTCCTCCTCCTCCTCCTTCTACATATGGTAGTGGTGGTGGAAAATGGGCCCATCAAGGACCAGGACAAAAACGTGGCGGCGAGTCCCAGGGGGACGTGAGCGGGGTGAGGCCTTCTCAGAAGGCTCGGGGGGGCTTCTCAGAAGCCCCCCCAGGCCTTCTGAGAAGCCGCCGTCGCTGTCGTCGGAGAAGCTTCAAACAGACTTCTCAGAAGGCCGGGAGGCCTTCCGAGGCCTGAGAGAAGGCCCGCACCCCCCTCACTCTCCCCCCCCGTGCTCGCCGCCGACAAATCAGGCTGGGCCAATCCGGGGATCTCTGAGATGTGCCGCCTGTGGCGGGTGTGCCGGGCGCCACGCCGTTTCAGAGCGCTCCGGGAACGCCCCGAGAGCGTCCTGGACCGACCCGAACCTCTGCAATGTTCATCAGAGCGTGGACGACGTGAGCGGAGAAAACCGGGGCCGGGTTGTGCGCAAAGCCGTGGGCGAGCACCACGGAGTCGGCGGAGCTGCCGACGAAGAAGTTCGAGGAGTACGTGAGCGGGCTGTAGAAGCCGGCCGCCGCCTGAGCAGAGAGGGGATCCGTGTCTTGCGCACGAGGCTCGGCGGCGCGCTTGGGAGGAAGTTGGGCGCCCGAGTTATCCGGGATAACTCGGGTCCGGGGTAACTCGGGTTTGGATTCCCGAAAAAGGAACCCGAATTATCCCTGACCCGAGTTACCCCGGATGATTCGGGGCTCTGGACGCCCGAGTTATCCGGGGTAACTCGGGTCCGGGGTAACTCGGGTTTGGATTCCCGAAAAACGAACCCGAGTTAGCCTTGACCCGAGTTACCCCTGATGATTCGGGACTCTGAAGGAAGTGAGAAGGAGAAGGCCTTCTCGGGAGGCTCGGAAGTCCCCCGGCCTTCTGAGAAGTTCCCTAGGCCTCCCCTGAAGACGCAGGGAGCTCGGCAGAAGGCCAGAGGCCTTCTGAGCAGTCCCGCCTGTTGACCTCCTCCTCCTCCTCCTCCTCCTCCTCCTCCTCCTCCTCCTCCTCCTCCCTCTCCTCCTCCTCCTCCTCCTCCTCCTCCTCCTCCTCTTCTTCTTGTTACTATTATTATTATTATTATTCGTCTAATTCGTATTATTCTTATTATTCTTCGTATTATTCTAAGTATTCGTATTAGTCGCATTCTCATTATTATTCGTATTACTATTATTCTTATTATTATTATTATTATTATTATTATTATTATTATTATTATTATTAGTATTATTATTATCATCATCATTAGTATTATCATTATTATTATTAGTACTATTATTATTATTAGTATTAGTATTGTGGTTGTTGTTCATAATATTATTATTAGTATTCTTATTCTTATTATTGATATTATTATTATGATTATTATTGCTGTTGTTACTAATAATATTATTCTTAGTATTATTCTTATTAGTATTATTATTTTTATGATTATTATTAGTACTCTTAGTATTATTATTATTCGTATTAGTGTTCGTATTGTTATTCTTCTTATTATTAGTATTATTACTATTCCTAGTATCATTCGAACTATTATTCTTCAGATTATGATTCTTCTGATTAGTATCATTATTATTGTTAATAGTCTTAGTATTAGTATTATTATTCGTCTTATTAGTAGTAATAATCTCATTATCAGTATTATTAATAATCGTCTTCTTGTTATGAATAGTCTTCTTATTATTATTGTTTTTCTTCATATTATTATTAGTATTATTATTATTATTCCTCTTCCTCTTCCTCTTTCTCTTCCTCTTCCTCCTCCTCCTCCTCCTCCTCATCCTCATCCGCCTCCTCCTCCTCCTCCTCCTCCTCTTCCTCCTCCTCCGCCTCCTCCTCCTCCTCCTCCTCCTCATCCGCCTCCTCCTCCTCCTCCTCCTCCGCCTCCTCCTCCTCCTCCTCCTCCTCCTCCTCCGCCTCCTCCGCCTCCTCCTCCTCCTCCCTCCTCCTCCTCCTCCTCCTCCTCCTCCTCCTCCGCCTCCTCCTCCTCCCCCTCCGCCTCCCCCGCCTCCTCCTCCTCCTCCTCCTCCCTCCGCCTCCTCCGCCTCCTCCGCCTCCGCCTCCGCCTCCTCCTCCTCCTCCTCCTCCTCCTCCTCCTCCTCCTCCTCCTCCTGCTCATTCTGCATTCCCCCCCCCCCTCGCTCGCCGCCGAGGGGGCACGGGGACCTCACGCGATGGCCTGCACGGGCCGCCCACGCCGCGCACCGCACAGACAAAGCGGGGCGCCGGCGCGCGGGCCTTGTTAACGTTAGGTCGGGCACGTCCCCCATACAAGGGGATCTTGCGCGAAAAATTAAACATATCAAGAAAATACCCCAAACATCAAACATGAGAGAGAGAAAAAAAACTCCACGTACTATGGTTTGACTACTTTTGGATAGTCCCCCTGTAGAGGGACAGGCCGGACGTAATGCTGACGCGGGGCGGGAAACGCACGCGCGAAAGTCCGCGCCACCAACCATGTCTTCTTACGCTGGTCACCTGGACGCCGGTGCTGACCACGCGAACGGCCGAGCCGTTCATGGCGATCAGCTCGTGGCCCATCTCAAGCTCATCTGCGTACGCGTATTCCACGCGCCCCACCGTGCCCGTGGCGATGCTGTGCTTGGCGGACGCCACCACCTTCCCGATGCTGGTCTCTACCACGGTCATGTTCGAGTGTGCATCCTGGGGGGGCGAGATGGCACTGGGGAGACCAACAGGTACTGATACCGCCACGCCCCAGACCTCTCCCAAGGGCGCGTCCCGACCAGCACTTCGGGGCGAATCCAACGATGGCGACGATGGCCCCCCAGGAGGCCCAGAAAGGGGGAAAACGGGCGGAGGGTAGAGGTATGGGCACCTCCCAGACTCCCGACGACATAACTTGTTCATGACGCCGACCTCCCGAAGTCTCGACCCCTTCCCCGGGCCCGGTACAGCCCCCCCAGAGGCCAAGAATAACGAAAAGCCTTCCGTCGTGACTTTGTCATGGCTCGAAGGGGTCTGGGCACCTTCGCCCTCCTCCGAGACGCGGCACCCCGCCAGACACACGTGGGCGCAGCCCGGGGCAGGAGGGGCCTCTGGAGCCGCGGCTCGCCGATCGCTGCGCGCGATGTGCGGCAATGGCGATCCGCGCGCCTGGGCCTGACCCCCCCCATCGAGTACGGGACCGACCGCAAAACTGGATTGCCCCAGGATTGGTCTTGCCCGTAGAATCAGAAATCAAATTACGCTACCGAGGAACCCCACATAATTACCTATGTTATTTCCCATGTGTACCATCGGTGCTTCTGCTGCTGCTCCTCCTTCTCCTCCTCGGTGTCCTCCTCCTGTTGCTGCTTCTGCTGCTGCTGCTTCTGCTGCTGTTGCTGCTGCGTCTGCTGCTGCAGCTGCTGCTGCTGCCCCACCTCCCCGTCCTCCTCCTCCTCCTCCTCCTCCTCCTCCTCCTCCTCCTCCTCCTCCTCCTCCTCCTCCTCCTCCTCCTCCTCCTCCTCCTCCTCCTCCTCCTCCTCCTCCTCCTCCTCCGCTACCTCGTCCTCCTACCTCCCAGCGCACCCCCTGTGGCGTCGAAGAAATGCCACGCCTGCCACGCCCTGGGAGCCAACAGCGCATAGGGCCCCCACCCCCAGCGCACCCCCTGTGGCGTCGAGGAAATGCCACGCCTGCCACGCCCTGGGGGCCTACAACGCATAGGCCCCCACCCCCAGCGCACCCCCTGTGGCGTCGAAAAAATGCCACGCCTGCCACGCCCTGGGAGCCTACAACGCATAGGGCCCCCCCCCCAGCGCACCCCTGTGGCGTCGAAGGAATGCCCTGTGTGCTATGCTGTGCTGTGCTGTGCTGTGCTGCTGTGCGGTGAGCTGTGCTGTGCTGTGCCGTGACGTGCTGTGCTGTGCTGTGCTGCGCTGTGCTGAGTTGAGCTGAGCTGAGTTGTGCTCAGCTGTGCCGTGCTGAGCTGAGCTGAGCTGAGCTGTGCTGAGCACTGATGTGAGGAGGAGGGGAAGAGTGAGGTGTGTGAAAGAGAGAGAGAGAGAGAGAAAACAAAAAAAACGGAGAGGGAGGTGTGAAGTGTGAGTGTCGCGGGTGCGGCGCGGCAGGGAAGAAAACCATAACCCCACGAAGCATGTGGGGAAAAACCGACAGTGTTCATTGGATGAACAGAATTGTTTACAAACTCTTCGTAGATTCGGCACGGAAAAAAATCAGTCAAAGCAGTTCTGTAGTCGATCCCCAAACCGCCCTTCCCCGCCCCCCACAGTCGCGCACCAAAGGTCATTCGGGCGAGGGTCACTCTCACGTGCGACTGCAACACCGACGCGACTCCCCAAACCTCTCCCACGGCGCGCTGCGTTCTGACCAAAATCTCGGGGTGAATCCAACCGCGTGGCGCGAAGGGCACACCAGAATCGGCGGCGAACAACGGGGGGCAAGTGAGAAGGGGCGGGCCTTTTCAAAAGGCTCGAAGTCGCCGGACCTTCCGATGAGCTTCCTAAACCTGCCCCGAAAACACAAGAAACCTCTCAGAGGGCAAGAGGGCTTCTGAAAACTCCCGCCGCCTTGTGAGCAGGGTTTTTATTTCGCCCCCCCCCCCCCCTCGCTCGCCGCATAAAACGGAAGCCGATGCAAATGTCGACGAGGAGATCGACTACAGCATTGGTGTACCCGATACTTGACATGTTCGCATCCTGTTCCAGTGAAACATATCCATATACCCATACGTATAAATATAACACACACATACATACATACGTACATACATTACATACATGCACGCATGCATACATACATGCATGTGTGTATAAATATAGTTTGTTCGTCTTCCCCCCCTCGCTCGCCGCCGATAGAAAGCTTGCAATGTCAGCTCCCGAAGCGGCGCCAGGATACAGACCGCGCGGGGACTCTGGAGACCCTCCAGAGCACACCTCAACCCGCACGGTGCGCCCCGCGCGGCCTGAGGGGGGGCCCGGAGGCCCCCCCCCCCCCCCGGCGCCCGCAGCGCCCTCGGAGCACAACCCCAAAAGCGCGCGGCCACCCGAAATCCCCAACGACGTTCCGCAGGCGAGCGCGGGAAGGCAACCGAGAAAGGGCGGGCCTCCCGAGAAGGCTCGGGGACTCCCCGGCCTTCTGAAACTTCACAAGAAGCCGTGAGAAGGCCCAGCGCCTTCTGAGAAGGCCTTCTCCTTGTCATTTCCCCCCCTCCCTTGTGAGAAGGATGAACGAGCAAGACAGCCAGCCGGCATAGACCCACCCCTTGTGGAATGCCGCAGGACACTCCGCAGAGACGCGTGTCACGCACAGAGAGGTGAGAGAAGAGAACAACTGCGGGTGTCCCCACCGGCCGGGCCCGAGACATCCTCCACATCTCTCGCCGCCGAGAATCACCCCACGGCGCGGCCCCCGCGCCGTGCCGGGGCCCCCCACCAGAGGGCGAGGGCGAGGGCGGGGGGAGCGGTGCAGGCATCTTGCCCCCAGCCCTGCCGTCCACATCGCGGTGAAGCCACGCCCTGACCTCGGAGAACCCGATCTTGCCCGCGGCGTCCACGCCCAACAGGGAGTCCCCCACCCGCACGTCGGCCATGCGCTTCGGCCCCGCTGCTCCGATCACCACCGCGTCGGCCGGGAAGCAGGACCTCAGAGGAGGTGAAGGTACACCCTCCCCTCACTGTCCCCCCGCCTGGGCCTCTTCGGAGGACCTCGTCGCCATGGCCGAATTCGCCTCAAAATTCCGGTCCGAACGCACCCCGGGGGAGGGCCGGGGAGCAGCGGCATCGGCACCTCTTGATTTCCCCCGGGCCCGCGGTGGGGAGCGTGGCCGCTGCTGGTGCGCAGGCAGCCGCTGAGCTGCGTGGCGATCGCGGCGAGGGACACGCCCAGGAGCGCCAGCCGGGCGACCGACCGCCTCGCCATTTCCCCGGGTCTGGCAAAGGGGTGCCCGCGGGCTGCTCGGGGGGGGGGGTCCACGTGGCGCCACGCTGCCGGGTGCCTGCGGCCAGGACGACTCGAGCCAGAGCGGCTACGGACCTCCTCTCCTGCAAGAGCCCTGCCCAGGGGAGGGAGGTCCCAAAACAACGCCAAGCAAGGCCAGGCAAGGCCAAGCAACACCAAGCACCGCCAAACAACGCAAAGCAAAACCAGGCGGCGCGCCTGTGCAGTAAGAAACGTTCCCCCAAGTGGGGTGGCGCCAGGTTGTTTCGTTGCGCCCTTTTACTCACGGCCTCCTCCGTCGGGAGGTGGGGGGAACGGGGGCACAGACAGGCCGCCCGAATTCGGGGGGGTCCAACGGGGTACTGGGGAGGGGCGGAAGCGAATTACAGCCGGACCTGGGACAGAAAAGCATCGTTCAAGAGCATGCGACCCTCCGCCGGCCAAACCGAAGTCTATTCGAGGGTGCCCTCCCCCGGGATGCACTGGAACATCCAACGAACACGGAGAACACTAAGGCATCCTCCCCGAAACGACCTCGATCTCTTATACCTCGGCCCCCGACCGTATCCCAGGCGTCGTGTCCACCCCCCTTCTTCTCTCAGCACGCTGCCTGGCCCCCCGCTCGCCCGCCCACGTGACTCGGGCCATCATGCGCATCCTCTCTTGAGCAGGGACCGACCGTCCCCGCATTTCTATAGGCCTACCACGACATGTTCTTAGAGCCCAGACATGTTCTAAGAAAAAAAAACACTGTTCTTGGAACAGAAACCCGATGTGTGAAGACACGGCAGCCTCAGCCATAAATGTTCTGAGAACATGTCGTGGGAACCACAGACAGGGTTCTTAGAACAGTGCTTGGTGGGCCAGTGGGCGAGCCAAGACGCTTCGCCGCTGCTTGACTCTCGCCTCTTGGCCCACACTCGGCTGCACGCCAGAGCGCTGGGGGGAGGAGGAAGAGGAGGAGGAGGAGGAGGAGGAGGAGGAGGTTACGAGACTACGAGTTCAGCAAGGCGCATGTCGCTGAGTAGCGCCTCGGCCGCGGCAGGCCAGGCCTGCCCGAAGGGGCGCCATCATACAAAGCAGGCGCTCGAAAAAAGGCGGCCACTGCAGGTGCAGAGGCCTAGCTGGCATCGGCGGCCCGCTGAGGACAACAGGCCAGCCGAACGCCCAGCCACTCCTCCTCAGTCAGAGCCAGACGTGGACCCCTCGGTCCGCGCCTCCTGGACGCGAGAAGCATCCTCTGCACGCAGCCGCGCGCGGACAGGCTGGAGCATAGGTGTGCTCCACTGCGCCGAGGAGGAGGACGGAGGAGGGAATAAACCGGTGCCCCTGCGCCACAGAGTCCCCGCAGGGAGGGCGCAGGGGGGCCAGAGGCGCACGGGATGCGCCAGATCGCGCAGCTCGCAGCCTACGCATATCACATCGATCACGACCGACCGACACCTCCTCAGACGACCCCCCGACGACCAGTCCCCCACTATCGGGCGCGGCCCCGCACCCCTCTCGCAGAGGGCGGGACTCCCCCAACTGCCCTCCAGGCCGCGGCGTCCGCACCTCAGCAGCTGAAGGAGCCTGACCCTTGCGATAAAAAATGACACTGGAGGGGGCCGCAGGCATGGTCGTCGGACTGGGCTCCTTGCCCCTCCGTGGGTTGAGCCCACGCTTCGCCCTCCTTATCTGCATTAGATGATTGGCACGCGTGCTGGCCACGCGCGAAACTCCCTTACACACCTCCTTCAGCTGACGGCATGGGCCATCTGGGGGCATGGCATGGCTGGCACAGGCTTCGCAGATCACAGTCTGCCCATACCTGGCTGGCTGGTGTTGCAACCTCCTGAAGACCGCAAGCTCATGAGCAGGACCGTCCTGGTCGGGAGGGGCGGGGACAGGAGGCTGCTCGGCCAAGTCGAGAGCAGGGGGTGAGCCAGGGACGGCCTGCGGGAGGGCTACACCATCAAGGACTGCATGTGACATGTTCGCAAAGAGACTCCTCGCCCGCCACCGCCGGACTTCGGTCGGACGACAAAACCCCCCGCCCCCGTGCGCAGCCCTTCGAGGGTACACTCAGTCCTAGCGACGGCATTGCATTGTGCGCGCCGCCACTCCTGCAGTTCCCTCAAGACAAACAACTGATGCATCACGACCGTGAGGTTGTCTCCCGGCGGGGCCGCGCGAGGGGGGGTCCTCGCGGTCAACCCGAGCAGCGTCGGCAGAGATGACCCGAACAGCACGCGAAAGGAAACTCCAGGTCCGTTTCACCGCCTTCAGGTGGCCGGACTCAGCATCCACGGCCACCTGGGCCACTTGATGCTCCATGGCCCCCAAACGCGCGAAAACATCGGCCCAGCAGTTTCCTGGGAAATCGCGCAGCACTTCTGGCGGGGCAGTGAGAATCTCCGCCATGTCCTGATGGACTTTCACCCACGCGAACTCAGGCGGCCTCTCACGAAGCCGAAGAAAATCTCCCGCCATAAGTCAGCGCGCAGTCCTCGCGCTGAGACCTGCCCTGGGCTCCATGCCGAGCCTTCGGTAACAAAGTTCAGGTGATCCGTACAAATGGTTCTGACTTTGGGGGCTACCTTGCAGGCCACAACACCAGCATAGCGTTCGGCCCTGGGCACCGACTGGCACCCTGGCAGCGCTCCGACACACAACCCTAACGGGCAAACCACAGTCCAGAAGCTCAACGACAGCCCATCCACACCACCTCACTTCTGGGCTCGCATTCGCAAGCCCGGAGCCGTCGGTGTAGACGCGCTCTCCCAAGGGAAGGCGCGTAGCCCCCCAACTAGAGACAGGGCACTGCGGGGCCACTGGGCTGATCTTGATGGGGTGAAAAGGGATCCCGTACGCAAGCTCCAGCGCGTCCCAGTCGGGGCCCCTCCAGGACATCAGGCGACAAAGGGTCTAGGTCGAGCTCCTCGGGGGTAAGTTGCAGGGCCTCGCAGCCACACAGTTGCCGCCAAAGACTCCCAACGGCACCAGAGGTACGCAGCTCACACATGGTTGCGCTCAGGGGGCCACAGGGCGGAGCCAAGCAGGCAGCGGGCACAGCCCCCACGATGATAGCTCTGGCTGAGAATCCCCAGTCGTAGTGCGCGACGGCAACGCTGCACTTGTAGCACTGCAGCTTCTGGTATGCGACTCGATACCTTTAACATTTGCCATCGCCTCAGTGATGCCCGCAGCGCCAGCTTGACGTCATGCGGTGGCAAGTTGAGCAAATCATGCAAAACTCCTTCGTCACCCACGAGAAGATTAGCGCCCTCTTCAAAGTGAGCACAACTGCCGAGAGCGGCCAAGCACAATGCACCCAGGAGCCATCGTCCGTGACGGTAGTAGGCAAAGCCATCCAGGCACGCTGTAGGCTAGCAAGGGAAAACCACCCATCCCATACAGTGGCACAATAACGCATGAATCGTGCAATCATTGTGCCATACACAAGATGAAAGAACTCGTCGCGCTGGGTGGCGAACCGCGCCGCGACGCTGGCGTGAGAGCGAGCGCCAACAAGTGCCCCCGCCATGGTGCGCAGCTACTGGAGAATGTGGGGCGTCACCGCACTGACGTCAGCTCCGTGGGCCGCAGCAGGGAGCAGCCCAGTCCACCATGGCGCCTTCGTCTTGCCAGGAGCTCCACGTCGCAGGGCACGTAGTCGGCGTTGGCGGGCACCAAGGGCAAGAATGCGTTTCCTCTCCTGGATCCTGCGCATTTTGGAGCCCGTGAACTCGTGTCCCAGGTTACACATATGCAGATGACAAGAAATCCCAACTGACTTAGCGAAGCGCCCGATACACTTCCTGGAAACACGCGTGCCCGTCACGCAGCCACTCTTGTTCGCCTGCATGATCAATCCCACCGCCACCACTTCATGAACGAAACAGCGAACTGCACAGAAAAGAGGCTCGGCTTGCCTCGCACTGGGTCTGACCCACTGGAAGCCAACGTCATCCATGAGGGCCCGTGGCGTGACCCGCGGGAAAGCACGACGCAGGCGCTCAAGAACATCTCGGAGCAGAAGCAGCATCATGGCACAAGCGTGCGACCAACCTGCAAGTATTCCTCGAGCACAGGAATAACCAGTGGACACAGAGCCGCAAGCACGAACCAACGTGGGCTGCTGAGGAGGAGGAGGAGGAGGAGGAGGAGGAGGAGGAGGAGGAAGGAGGAGGAGGAGGGGGAGGAGGAGGAGGAGAGGAGGAGAGAGAGGAAGGAGGAGGAGGAGGAGGTGGAGGAGGAGAGGAGAGGGAGGAGGAGGAGGAGGAGCTTTGCCCCGGGCACGAGGGGCCTCCGGGTGCGCGGCCGCTCGGGGGCCGCGGGCGGACCCGACACACGAGCGCGCAGGACGCTGCCGTCGCGTCGCCTTCGGCGCTGGGGGGCCCCAGTCGGCGGTGGACAAAAAAAACTCCTCGTCCTCCTCCTCCTCCTCCTCCTCCTCCTCCTCCTCCTCCTCCTCCTCCTCCTCCTCCTCCTCCCTCCTCCTCCTCCCCTCCTCCCTCCTCCCCTCCTCCTCCTCCTCCTCCTCCTCCTCCTCCTCCTCCTCCTCCTCCTCCCTCCTCCTCCTCCTCCTCCTCCTCCTCCTCCTCCTCCTCCTCCTCCTCCTCCTCCTCCTCCTCCTCCTCCTCCTCCTCCTCCTCCTCCGCCTCCCCCCCTCCTCCTCCTCCTCCTCCTCCTCCCTCCTCCGCCCCTCCTCCTCCTCCTCCTCCTCCCTCCTCCTCCTCCTCCTCCTCCTCCTCCTCCTCCTCCTCCTCCTCCTCCTCCTCCTCCTCCTCCTCCTCCTCCTCCCCTCCTCCTCCTCCTCCTCCTCCTCCTCCTCCATCCTCCTCCTCCTCTCCTCCTCCTCCTCCTCCTCCTCCTCCTCCTCCTCCCTCTCCTCCTCCCTCCTCTCCTCCTCCTCCTCCTCCTCCTCCTCCTCCTCCTCCTCCTCCTCCTCCTCCTCCTCCTCCTCCTCCTCCTCCTACCTCCTCCTCCTCCTCCTCCTCCTCCTCCCTCCTCCTCCTTCCCCCCCTCCTCCTCCTCCCTCTCCTCCTCTCCTCCTCCTCCTCCTCCTCCCTCCTCCTCCTCCTCCTCCTCCGCCTCCTCCTCCTCCT